TGAGAAGCTTTACGTCTTCTTTCTTTACCAAAGTGAATGCCGAGGATGGTGGCTCCAGTGCCTTGATAAGTAGGCCGCGATTTGGCGATACGCGTCCTGCACCCCCTGAAGAAGTCCTTTCGAGGCCACAACCCAACACTTATGAAAACGACAGGGACCCTTCTGGAATTGTCGCCCACGAAAAGGGACCGTTCCATTCTGCCGGAGAACACGAACACGATATCATCACGCGCAAGACTGTCCTGAAAAAGGACCGGATGCTGGTCAAGGTAGAATGGACGCCACACGAGGATCTCCCGAAGAACTTCGATGAGTTGGCCTCGAGAAAGTTCCCTGTATATGGTGATCAGTGGAGAGAATACATTGTCGTTCTGAGGATGGGAAAAGTTGAGCTATGGAGTGATCCTGTGAGTTTTTTTTTTCTTTTGCATCCTATGAAAAGTCGAGAAATCTTCTACCTTTTGCAGCGCCTAATCTCTTTCAATTATCCTTGCCTGATAGACGTTGACCTCCAAGGTGCTCCGCCACCCTGAGCGACTCAAACTTCGACACACGATCCCATTGTCTCGTGGAACTACCTTCCTCTCGCTCTACTCTCCTATCGACCGTATCTTCTGCCTGACGTATCAGCCGTGGAAGCTTCAATCCTCCAGCCACAAGGCAAGGCTCAATCTCCGCAGGCAGGGCACAGACATAGCCATATTCGATTGCCGAGCTCACAGCGTGGCCGCTGACTGGATGTGGGAGCTGTGGAGAGAGCTCGGCGGGACGTTGCCAGAGAATGTCGAGATACACCTTCCTTCTCTGGGCCTCAAGATCCGCATCCCCATCCCTGAGGAGATGCCGAGCTATACTGCTGCCTCGTGCCTGGGTGCTGATTCAAGAGGAGGCGAAGGTTACAAAGTCATTAGTCAAGCCAATGTGACTGGAATGATATGGAAGTTAGTCAAGAGGGCTCCAGAATGGAAGGACTTGTTGGATGAAGTCGAGAAGGACGGCATCCGCTTCGCTCTAGCCTGGAGAAGAGGGGTCGTTCTTGACTGGGTTCAGCACGAAACCTCGGTCGATGGCCAGCAGCGTGATTGGGCAGTCCTCTGCGGTGCAATAATGAAAGAGGTCAGTCTTTGGGTCCTATCGCCTGAAAGAGGAGCGCAAGGTCGACACTCACATTCCCCATCGTCCTTTCACAGTTTCGTAATCCTTCCATATTGGAACTGCGCCCAGCAAGGCATTACCCGACATCAGTCCGACTTGTGACTGGTGAAACCCTTGATGAGCCTCCTGCCATAGAGGGCTACCTCTGGAGGGTCAAGCCCGTATCTGGGGCCCTGACCAGGCTTTATGTGACGACCCATGACAGCCATGCCTTCGTCAATCGACCCTCGAGAGCCTTCCCGCCCGACAGGCATCTGGCTACCCAGCTTCAAGAGGCGCTGGACATGAGAATACCGAAGAACACCGTTCAAGCCCAAAGCAAGGTGGAAGTTAACATTCAGAGTCGAAAGCGCTCAGGAAGAGCCTTGGATACGTTCCTCGGCAGGAACAGGAATGTCGTGCGCGACGAGAGCATGGCAGCTCTAAGACAGAACGTCATGGACGCTGTCAGCCATGTTGCAATGACTGCAGAGGAATGTGAGGCTCAGGTGGAGGCATATCAGGCGTTCGAAAAGCGGAGGCAGTTTGAGCAGATTAACGGAGCCGATGGTTACGTCGATTTGCGTGACATTCTCATGATTAAGTCCTTGGGTGAAGGACCTACTTACTGGCCTGGAAAGGACGACAAGGCACTCTGCAGGAAAGAAGGTTTGAAGCTGGACTCGGAACTAAAGGAAGTAGAAGCTGAGGGAGACGAGGCAGCATCGAACAAGGACGACGTGATCGATATTGAGGAGGAAGACATCGGTGGAGAAGAAGGCCTTTTGAATGCCAAGGACCGGAGCGAATTGCGAAAGTCGAGGCAGTTCGAGGTTGTCATGTCAAACGGGCGATCAACTCGTTTCGAAGCCTACTCGGTTTCCGTGGCGAGGGACTGGATCAAGAGGTTGGCCGCCCTAGCTAGGTACTGGAGGAGAAGGGAAAAGGTCGATGCGCTAGAACTGATGAATGCGAGTGGTTTTGATCCGACCCTGATCCAGAGAAACCTCCAGGAGAGATCTGGCGGAAGGCCCTTGGGTATCAGTCCGGATTCGGAAAGGATGGCTCCTGTCCTGGCAGAATTATGGCACTGGTGCGCCCTCGAAGGCTGCCGCGGCATCATCCGTTGCGGTATGCTTTACCAGAAAAAGTCTGGCTACTCACCTTTCAAGCGCCGGTATTTCATCCTGATCGCCGGTCGGCTCCTCAATTACAAACTTGTCAAGTCGCAGAGGACCGCTAGATCCCGGCAGAATGCTGGCATCTTTCATCGTCGTCAGGAGACCGTCATACACTTTCGAGACGCCTACGTCTACAGCGGAAAGCTGAGCGAAGACATGTTGAACAATGTCAGAACCGAGGGCGCTCAGGCTGTCAGCGGCATCGGTGGTGGGGGATCGAACGCGGGGGAGAGGCACAGATTGCCAAGAGTCTATGCTGACGGGTTATTCAGCGTTGACGACGACGAGGATTGCACCTTCGTCATTCGTTACCGGCCGGAGAGGGTCAATCAGGGACAAGAGCCTCCAAAAGGTGGCAACGAAAGATCCAAGATGAACCATTTGCCGCAGCCGCCGCCGCCCACCTTCGATTTGACCTCCAAGTCCCAGCATGAGGGTAAATCCGAGCTCGAGACCACCGCCACGATGAAGGATGGCGTTTCGAGCAGCATTGCTAACAAGGCCCGACAGTCGAACTCGACACGGCCGGTTCATCAAGAGCCATCGAAAAATAGCGCAGGCTCGACCACCTCTTCGACGGTGCTCCCCACCTTGGCCGACAAATCCCACAAATTCGTGGCCCTTCGTGCACGTAGCAAATTGGAGAGGGACCAGTGGGTACGGTGCATCTCGTACGAGATCGAGAGGCTGGTGAGGGATGAGAGGGACAGGGAGATGAGGTTGAAGAACGTTGGAAGCGTCGAAAAGGCGCGAAAGGAAGACGTGTGATTCAAAGGCGACGTTGCTCTCTCTACATCATACCGGAGTTTGACGAAGCGAAAGGATAGGGAAGAAGATTCACTCTACATCTTATCTCCCGCAGATGATTTCCAAGTTCAAGTGGCCAGTATACCAATCGACACATTTTTTTGTTTTGTTTTTGTTTTGTTTTTTTCCTAGTAATGAATTTCTAATCACTGGTTCTTTCACCACCCATTTCATCGTGCCTCGCACCTCTTGTCGTATCAATTGCTGCTCGGAGCATGCCCACGAAGCAAAACTTGAAAATACACTTAGCAGAGTGATTCACACATCAATGCCATGAAGGGTACTGTGTGTCCTGTGCCCTGTACACACTGGACTGGGCTGGACTAGATATACGTAAAAGACTCTGGCTTGCTTCCTCTCGATCGAGAATGTTTTGTCGACGTATGCGCGGTGGAATGATCGGTTGAAATCTGTCGACTCCTTCCGTATTGTTACATTTCTCTCTCTCCCTCTCTCTCTTGGCACCCGAGAACTGTCGTCCATGAAAAGAGAGCTTGCGAGATTCTAGGGTAAGGGGTACCCTTTCTCCCCTTGGGTTCAGGGATGCGAACAAAATTGTGGGGAAAGGGAATGAGGAGTGTGGTTTGGGGAAGCGCTTGTTATGGAAGGGTTTGGTTGAAGAGATATTCGTGAAAAGGGGGGGGGGGGGGGGGGGGAGCAGTTGGTAAAGCTAAGAAGAAGTCGAAGTCAAAACACCTCATGGACCAGCCTTCGGCTTCTTAGCACCGTACTTGGATCTGGAAGTGGTTCGGTTGGCGACTCCGCTGAAATCGAGGGCTCCTCTGACGAGATGGTATCTAATGAGGATGAGAAGGGAGGGAGTAAGAATGTGTGTCAGAGATTCTGTTTGAACATGTGGCGCTCATTCTGAGCGGGTGATCCACTCCCTCAAACCCCTCCCCCCCTCCTTTGGCATTTTTGTCCATCTCTCCTTCATTGATCTCTTCAGCTGAATGCTCCTTTTGAAGAACGAAAAAGAAAGAGAGAGAGGAGAAAAAAGAGAGCGGGGGGGGGGGGGGGGGGGGAGGGGCTCGTCTCCATCCCCTCCGTGCCAGATCTCTCATCGAAAAGGGTCCCAGAGTCTCGTCCCGTTCGAACATCAAATCCCCAACAAAATCAAGAAGTGATGACACACCTTACACCAGGAACATCCTGAACCCTACCGCCCCTGATGAGGACGACGCTATGTTCCTGAAGGTTGTGACCTTCACCAGGGATGTAAGCGACGACGCTCCTCCCGTTGGAGAGCTTGACCCTGGCGACCTTCCTGATGGCCGAGTTGGGCTTCTTGGGCTTGGTCGTGAAGATCTTGGAGCAGACCCCCTTGACGAAAGGTTGACCCTCCAGGGCTGGTCCCTTGTTGACGGGTGGCCTGTGAGGTTTTCTGGCCCCCCTCAAGGCTTGCTGGAGCGTCACTTGGTTGGATGGTGTGCTGCTAAAGCTTCGGAAGGCGCTGGCTGAACAAGGCGATGCTGCGTTGAAGGAGAGGATTTTTGATCTGGATGGACCTGCGATGGATCTATGCGAGACAGTTGGCAAGGCCGAGACGAGCGCCGTCCTCAAGTTCTGGAAAGGTGTCATGAAGGACTGGGAGGTGCAGGAGAGGCCCAGATTGGGGGGAGGGGGTATGAACCTTCTGCCCGTGCATTTACTTCATCATAGACTGCAGTTACATTTCCACTTACCATGGCAATGGATTCTTCTGCTCGTTGAATGTGATGGTGAATCCGATGTTAAGATGAGGAAGATGAGGTGGAGATGAGTGCATTCAACCAACCCCCCACCGCCCCAGAAAAAAAGAGGCTTCTCGATGTCATCCATTTGTTCTTCTTCGTCGATCACGTGAATACCTTTCAAAAACCGGGTAAAAAAAATGACAGCGCCTTCCCGGGATTGAACCAGGGACCAGACGGGATTCAATTCCGAAAGAAGCGAATTGCAACCGTATACTCTACCACTGAGCTAAAGACGCTTTCACGTTCATCAATAACGTGGTAAGTATAAACAAAATAAAAAATAATTATGTTCCACTCGGTTTTTCTGAATGATAAGTACCCTGCCAAAAAAACCAAACGTCAAGTTGCCAAAGGCCACCATACCTAGTTGGTTGCGGCTTGAAACGACCCTGCGAAACAGTCCAGTTGATCTCCAGTGACACCGCCCCTGCAACGAAAATCTTCGGTCTCAACCTACTTCGCCTCCATTAACACATCCCCCTTTCTTTTTCCCCCAGGTAAAGGCGGTTTCTTTCGTCCACACACGGTGGGGACACACGGCATCTTTAGAAGTTGACATTCTGGCCGAGCCCCAACTGGATCGCCTTTTCTACGACGAGTGCGGTGATGGCCACGTCTTGAACACCTACACCGACCGATTTGAATATCGAGATCGCCCTCAAACTAGTGTTCCTTGCCTTGTCGTCTTTGGTAGACCGAAACCGCTCCCTTATTACTTTCAGGCTGCCCTTCACTTCAACCTCAGTTGCATCGGGATCGTCGCTTATCAAGTCTCCGAGCTCTATGCAATCCTCAGAGGGGATCGAGGCCTTGATCAGGTCACCCGCTTCGGTCGAGCATGCCGCTGAAGAATCGACGATCAACGTCCCTTGACTGTGGCAAAGTCGGATCAGCGTCTCTGGCACCTCTTGCATATTTGGTTTGTCTGAGTCGTGTTGAAATGAGGAGAAGGTGTCAGGACGTTGGGTCGAAATATAGAGAGATTTCAAGGAGATGGAGAAGTGGAACAAGGGCTATCTAGACTCACAGGATCCAACGAGGTTTAGATGGGTCCCGTCCTTGACCCATTCATCTTTGAAGAGCGGGTCCGTCGAAGGCGTACAGCAGCAGATGATGTCTGCACCTTTGACCGAGGCTTCCACGTCGGCGCTGAAATCCACTTGGACGTTTTTGCCTGCCAGCTTGGACTTCAAGGAGACGATGGTTTCGAGTGTTGTCTGAGAAGGTCGGTCTCCCCTTGTCAGAACAAAAGTGATGGTAGTGATGGATGGATAGAGCTGGGAGAGCAGCAAGGAATGGTAGAGACCTTGTTGACCTCCCCCAAAGATGGAAACCTTTTCCGGTTTACTTTGAGATGGATCGTGGATCAGCGAAGTCGCCAGGACAGAGCCTGCGACAAGTGGTGGCGCGAAGTTTCAAGCAGGGGAAAGGGTTCAAAAGCAGTTATGAGGGGGATGGGGGAGAAAAAGGGAGATAGATCGTCGAGTAGGTGGAAATGGGAAGACATGATCATCAGCGAGGATAGGATGAAACCCCTGCTCAGAGGTGTCGCTTCTGTCAGAGGATCGACCCTGCGACGAATCAGGCCAACGTACCAGCGGCGGTTCTAAGGCCGGTCAAGCTCTCGGCATTGACAACAGCTTTCATCCTACCGCCCTCCTCCTCGATCACGAGCGTAGTCCCTCGGATGCCGGGAGGCGCCAATTGGTCATTGGGCTTTGGAACACTGACGATCTTCACGGTGGTGGAATGGTTGAGCCTGGCTGGCATGAAGAGGACATTGTGATGCTTGGTCTCTATGGTCGTCCTGTGAGGATTCTGGATGGCCAACGGTTCACCGACCGAGGCTTTGGAAGTAGTCTCATGAAAGCCTGCGCTCCTTCGAATCGAGCTGAAGACGTGAGCTTGGTTCGAAAGGACCTCTTTGACGTCCAGGTAGGAAATCACTTGCTCGATCTCGGTCGAGCCCAGAACCAAGAGGGCTACCATGATCTTTAGAGTGGATCTCCCTGATGTACTTGGTCGCGACCTGCTTCTGATTTACCCGTCTGAAGTGCAACCTGGGGAGGTTGGGCAGTAGTTCCCCTCCTCACTCAACTAGACGTACTAACATCGAATCCCATGAATAATAACGATGGAATGTCCACGGGGGCACGCACCCACATACAGACCTCCACGATGTTGATAGCCTGGACTCACCGTTCACGTGACATGTTCACCACCCCTGACCACCTCAAGTCGATCATCAACCCAAACCGTTTCCGCTGCCCAACGCCCCATCTTCGTTCGTCATGGCCAAGAAGGCAAGCCTCCGAGGCAATTAACCCCGCCCCTGACGTGGAGAGAAAGAGTGGACCTTTTTTTTGCAAAACGTTGTGGCAATTTTTTGATAATCGATGAAGAAGGAACATGGAGACTTGTTCTCGCCTTGACCCTGTGTTGGACCTTGACCCCTTCCCCGTTCTCCATCCTGTTCTCATCCATGCTGCGTTTTATTACGATTTTCGCGCATTTGAGGGCACGAGCCAAGCAAACTTGGCGGATTTTAAAATCCTCGCCATCCCGACCTCTCTCCGCCTTTTTCGATTCTGGGCCCTTTTCTCCTTACCCCACCTTTTCTTGTTTCATCCGTCCATCCTCTCCATCTTCCTCACCACTCACTGTTCGTGCCGTGTCTTACTTTGGACGTCCCTGTTGTCCTGTTGCGATCCCAAGATTCATATCGATTCGAGCCAGACTGCCTGCTCATTCGATTGAGGTGAGATCTCAACCCAAAGTGAAGGGTTAACGAGCCCCATTTGCGGATAGGACGCATGGCTCTTTCCCAAGGATCGAACGCCCCCTTCCCATCAACACGCATGGACTGCCTTGAACACAGCTGGAAATGCGGCCCTTTCTCCCCCCATCGCAGACCTTGCTTTTGATTTCAGCTTTTCCCAACCCAATCGATCGTCTCCTCTCGGATAGTAATCAAGCGTGGGTGTTAAATCCAATTTAAGCTTCATTCATGCTCAGACGCTGCGAACCCAAACGTAAGCGAAAAAAAGATCCCCGCATTTTTCCATGATACACGGGTGAAGGGGAGACGGAGAGGGGCAAAAGGAAGCACACATCCCGAATCGTAATCGTGGATGTGGAAAAAAAAAAAGAGGAAGAAGAAGGAATGCAAGGCTCCATGGCCCTGGCTGGAACAGAGGAACAGACGGGCCCCTTGCACGGCTGCCTCCTTGACCAATAAAATAAACAGGAGGAAAGAATCATCCTCGCAAGCTTCCGAAACTCGTTTCATCCCCTTCCCAACCCATCACTCTCAAAATTCTCGCCCGCCCTCCTCCAAGAGCAATCCACCCAGCTTGAAAGGTGAAGGCTCGGATCTGAAGAAAAAGGACAAGGAAAATCCTACGGAAGTGAAGGTCGGTCGCTTTGGGTTAAATAGATCGGCAGAGGAAGTGGGGAGAGGGGGTTAGGAAGAAGAAAGTAAATCTCAGAACCTACCAATATCCATCCGTCCATCCATCCCCCCTTTGAAGTGAAGAGACTCGAAAAGGACATGTTCGAGCTCAATTTGCAACTTTCGGTCTCGATGGCGACCTGGGCCGCGGGACTCTATTTTCTGGTCTCTTTCATCGTCCTGCCTATCGTCAACTACGTGAGGGGTCCCTACCGTTCCCCTCTCAAGGCGTTGCGCGGGCCGCCTGTGCTGCACTGGTTCTTCGGTTCCGTTCCCGTCAGAGAGCTAAAGGCGATCAGGGAGGTCAACCTCAACATCGAGTGGGTCCCCGAGTACGGTAGGGTCTACACGTACATCACGCAGAACAGGAAGAGGATCGTCTTCCTCGGAGACCTCCAGGCGGTCCACCACTGCCTCCTAACCAGGCCAAGCCTGTACGTAAAACACCCCGTGGCCCTCAGGATCGTCAACATCTTCTTCGGCAAGGGTCTTCTCGGAGTGGACGGGCCGGAGCACAAGAGAGACAGGAAGGTGGCCTTCCCAGCCTTCACCCAGAAGGCGGTCGACAAGTTGGCCCCCTGCTTTCTGGAGCACGCCCAGAACCTGGTGGACAGGTGGGATCGGCTGGTGAGCCAGGACGCCAAGGGGGACGTCAAGGCGGGAAGAGGACTGGTGGTCAATGCCTTCTCCGAGTTTGCCCTGGTGACGCTCGACATGATCGGCGACGCCGGCTTTAACTACCAGTTCGATTCCGTCAAGGGCAGGGATACGGAGCTGGCGGTGGCTTTCAGCAAGATCTTCCACCTCATGACGACGGGCAGCATCTACTCTCTCCTCAGGATCCAGTTCGACTCCATCAGCAAGGTCGGAAGATTGCTCAAAATCAAGGAGGAGGTCGAGTTGCAGAACGCCAGGAAGGTGGTCCACGACTGCGCCAGGCAGTTGGTCAACGACGCCAAGGAGGAGGCGCTGAGACTCAAGAAAGGCGGGATCGCCAACGAGGACGAGGAGGCCAAGGACCTCCTCTCCCTGCTGGTCCGTTCCAACCTCTCGGACAACGTCAAACCCTCCGAAAGGATGACGGACGAGGAGGTGATCCAGATCGTCCCCACCTTCCTCAGTGCGGGTCACGAGACCACTTCCACCGCGCTCTCCTTCGCGGCTCACAGCCTCACCTCGGACCCAGACGGTCTACGCGCCCAGCAGAGGCTCAGGGCCGAGCTCTCCAGCGCCGAGAACTGGGACACGGATGCCAAAGGTCTCGACAGCTTGGTCTACCTCGACGCCGTCTGCAGGGAGGTCTTGAGGCTTCACAACCCGGTCATGCAGGTCCGGAGGGGGGTGACCCAGCCCGACGTGATCCCGCTCTCGGAACCCATCCGACTCGCGGACGGGACCATGACAAAGGCCGTCTCGGTGGTGCCAGGCGACTCGGTCATCCTGCCCATCAGGTTCATGAACACGGACGAGAAGATCTGGGGTCCGGACTCGAACAAGTTCGTACCGGAACGTTGGCTTCCCTCCGATCACGAGTTCTACCGTGGCGAGCTCCCGGACTCGGTCAAGGACGTCAAGTACGGCTGGTCCCACATCCAGACCTTCACCGTCGGTCCCAGGAATTGCATAGGGATGAGGATGGCCATCCTGGAGTTCAAGGCCGTCCTCGCCAAGGTCGTCGCCAACTTTGACCTCAAGCCTCTCACCCTCCCCGGAGAGGAGCCCATCATCATCGAGCCTCGCAACGCTGCCGTCGGTAGGCCGGTTGTGATCGGAAGGGAGAAGGAG